CAGGCTGGCTCTGGCTCCCACAACATTCACTGGGTAGCTTAATTATCACGATTGAGGTAAGGATGACCCTTCCCTTCTCCTCTCTTTATCTGCATCAGTCAGAGTAGGTAGATCAAACACCCTCTCTCAGTATAGGAAAAAGAAAAAAAATCATTGGAGCAAATCAGGAAATTGGTTTCTGGCTCGGAAGAAACACTCCTGTTTTGACTTTGGATATCATCTAACCTTTCTCAGGCTGGTGCTTATCTGAAAAATAAGGGCCTTTGGATTATCTTCAAGGGCTCTACCTGTTGGGTGAGTCAGGAGACAGAAACCACAGGTTATTTCAACAGAGGACCATATAAAGAACTGTTAAATAGGCATTGAAGAAAGGGCCAAGGATGAGATAGCCGCCACCTGCAAGAAGCACCTGTCCCTGTGAGGGCTGCGGGAACAAAAGGGAACATGTTGGCATCGTTAAAGCAGAAACCCAGACTTCTGAGAGGGGTCTGCCCAGCTGGCACCTCTGAGGGGCACTGGTCCTGGGAGTACTGAAGAAACTGCCAGCTGAAAGCAGCGTGGCTCCTTGTATGAGCTGCAGAAAGACATTGTCAGTGATGCTGATGGGAGCAGAGCACACAGGAGGAACCGCGTCCCTTCCTCCTCCAGCCTTGTGGCTACTGATACCCCGTCTACCAGGACGTTTAAGTCGCTGAGCATCTCACTCAACAAACAGCTAAAATGGCCAATAAATAAAAAGCTTTTATATAATTGCTTCACTGAAATGGAAGTAAGGAAGAATTACCCTTGAAAATCTGTAAAAAGCACAGGCTGACTCTTGCCCAGGACTGTGGTCTGAAGTCACACTATGTGATTTGAAGCTCCTTAGAGGAGAATTTAATTTAAAAAGTTCTGGGAAACACCCCCAGGTGACAGGCAGACAGACGCTTGCAGGATTCCTCTTAGGACAACTCAAGCCTCGAAGAACGTCCACAGAAAAAATGCTAAGGAGAGTGGGCAGGCTTATTGTAAAAATTCCCAAGGAGAGAAAGCATCACGAGTAAGAACCAGCAGAAACCTCACACGGAAAACTCAGTAGTCACCAGGGAAATATAAATTAAAACCTCACAGAGGTACCAATTCATATCCACCAGATTGACAAAATGTTTGAAATTGGCGTTGCCGGCTTGGCATTTCCTAGTGTATGCATGTAAACGTGATATCCCCATCCCTACATTATACCCTGAGAAAGTCTTGCATGTGTAGCTCAGGACTTATATACCAGGATGCTTGGAGCAGCATTGTTCATACTAGAAATAAGCAACAACAACCCTAGAAATAACCCTACTGCTGACCAACATTAGAGCGGATAAATGGAGGCGTATTCACACGCTGCCTTACTCAGAGCAGTGAGAATGAACCAGCCCCACTGCGTGCATCAACATGGATGAATCTCAAAAGTGATATTGAACAAAAGTCATAGAAAAATACATGCAGTATGGGTCAGGCCATGTACACAAGCTTAAGAAAAGGTACACATTGTTTAAGGGTACATACGAAGCGGTAAAACTAAAACGAAAAGCAAGGGGATAATTATCACAAGGTACAGGATGTTATCTCTGGGGGATGGGTAGCAAAAAAGTAGGATCAAAGTGGGGTCATCAGCGGGTTGTCGGGTGTAGCTCGTAATATTCATTTTCTTAACCTGGGTAGTGGGCANCTCTGTTTGGGATATAGAAGGGTATCCTTATATCTCATCCATCTTCCATATTGACTGAAGGTTCATTACTTCTTCCACTCTTTAAGACAACTCCGAAAGAGTAGAAAGATGTGAATTTCGGTTTTCTTGGAATTTGTCCTGTCCATTATGGTAGCCACCAGCCACATGTAGCTAATAAAGGTATAATTTAAAGTTAGTTAAAATTAAGTAAAATTTAAAAATTAAGTTCCTCTGTCTTACTAGCCATAAGTGCTCAATAGACACTTGAGGACAGTGTGGATAGGGGCTGCCATATTGGATGGTACAGCTATAAACCATCGCTGTCACCACAGGAAGTTCTGTTGCTCTAAGCACTTTCCCATTGCCTGACCCATTTTTTTCTCCCTCACACAGGTCTATTTTGCTGTCTATACCTTCAAGGCACGGAACCCAAATGAACTGAGTGTGTCAGCCAATCAGAGACTCAAGATCCTGGAGTTTAAAGACGTCACGGGCAATACGGAGTGGTGGTTAGCCGAAGTCAGTGGGAAGAAGGGCTATGTTCCATCCAATTATATTCGCAAAGCTGAGTACACCTGAACCTGCTCTGCCTCCCACTCAACCTTACTGCCCTCACTTCCTTCTGCTGAGGGGTCCTGGTGGTCCACGGAGAGGGCACCTGCTCCGGACACACAGACCCTGTCCGCATTGCTTACCCACGCCACAGTGGAGCACAAGATAAGTCTTATTCTCCTCAATTGGGTTGTCATCCTTGATGCTCACTAGAATTTCTAGAATTTGAAATGGATCCTGGGGCTTGAACATAATTCACTAACCATGAGAAGAGAGGCTAGTCCCAGGGTCAGCCTCTGGAAATGAGAAATTTCCAGTCAGAAGACCAGTATCCCATGAATGCTGGAAGCTGTGTGATAGCATTAGAAGATGTTGGTGTTGGTTGTACCATACTGAGTTTGGCGTGGTCCCATGCTCCACGGTCACATGACCAGAAACCGACTTGGATGAAGAGAATTCTCTGGAAGCCCTTTTAGGCTGTGCCTCTGCCTGTGGCAAGGAGTTTGTTAAGACTGTATACCAACTCTGGTGTTTCAAAGCCTCAGTGTCACATTTACACACACAGACACACACGCCCCCACGTCTCCCCCCCACCCCCCCAGTTTCCAGAAGTCCTTAAAACACTACCATCTGTAATCTTTTTCTTATTTCACTTCATTTCCAGATTAGTTATGCAAAATTCAGCTGCTTTCTTTCACCTTTTGAAAAGCGTTTAGAGTGTTCATCTTCCTTCAACCTCCATCTGAAAGATTTTCTTCCCTTAGGTGCAGTCATCTTCACCTTTCTGACAGTCGTCTCTGCTTTACACAGTCTGTGCGTGATACTCTCTCCTACAACCCAATAACCAGTAGGTTTTCCTAGGAGAACAGTATCAGAGCTTCAGCCATGCCATTAAAAGGATTCGCTCTGCAGTGAGCTGATTCCAGTCCAGCCTGTGGAAGACTAGATGCCTTTCTCCACCATCCAAGCACTCTACTATCTACAGATACAGAAAACAACTCATGTGTCTTTGAATTAGGATAAGCATCTCCAAAGCAGCTTATCCTAGACTTGGAAATAAGGATTTTCTGTTTCACCTCAAATCTCCATGCTTCAGAGACCACAGTCTAAGCCAAACATTCTAAAGTGCCTGATCAAAATAGGTTCCATGGTGTAATGGTTGGCACTCTGGACTCTAAAGTGCCTGCTCGTACCTTTCTCTGACCTCGGGAAGAGATTTGCTAATCCTCCCCCATGTGTCTGTTGGTCGGTCAGAAGGCAGCAATGTGAGCCTCTTGTGAATAGTGTTTATATTTAGAGGTGTTTATATTGAAGTAGTTATTTTATAAATAAAAGCATTTCTAAGGGCCACGAGTATGTTTTCTTGATTTCCCTCCATGTTTAGGCTGAACCTTCCTTTCAGATTTCTTTTTTTTTTTTTT